AAAACATTTGAAGAAAAAAGAAAGAGAAAAATAAAAAATTATTATTGTTATATTTAAAATAATATATTATATAATATTACTTAAAATAACTTTTTTTTTGCAAATTATCTTATTAATACGCGTATAAAATTCTTTAAACAACATTATTTCTAGAATTATATCCATGTATGATGCAGGATATACTGTAGCTTGTTAGCGCTCAAAATAATTCGAAATATTAGAAGCTGGACTTATGCCAATGTATCAAGGAAGAGTATTTTGGTTCCAGCACCTGGATACATTATGCGTTGTTCGCGTGATATTTGATCTCTTTTGCGCGTTTGACAATATTTTCCTCATTTTGTGGTCATTTTACTTAATATTATGATTTCATTTGTTATGAATAGTATATCGTATAAATAAATAATTATAGAGCAAATGATATACACACAATTTTTTATGAAAAATAATATGGAATATAAAATAATATATCTATTATTAAAATGATTATATTAAAAAATTTATCTGTTCCGCAGTTTTTAAAAAATCTATACATAAATTATATATTTTGCTGCTTATATTTTAGTATTATAAATTTACAATATGCTGATGGGAAATAAATTATTGATGTTCACGTCTGGATATTTAGTTTTAATTTATTTGAAGATATTCTTGTTTCTTTATTTTATAGTTTCTGCTTTTTTATATTATAGAATATATATTTGCTGCATTACCAAGGACCCAAAGAGGACAACCTCTTGTATTAGGCGGCGATCCCAAAGGAAAGAACTTTTTATATACCAATGGTAACAGTGTTATCATTAGAAATATTGATGTGAGTTTATATATTGCAATAAATGCTTACTACTAATAACAGACAGACACACTAATTTGCGTATCTCGGAACATTGCAGAATCCAGCAATTGCAGATGTTTATACAGAACATTCTTGTCCTGTGAACGTTGCCAAATATTCTCCTAGTGGTTTTTACATAGCTTCGGGAGGTACGTTATACTTTAATTGTAATATTTAATTTTACCGGGATTTTTAATTATTTGAATATTATGTGTGTGTGTGTGTGTGTACATTATCTTTACATGGAAATTATTATCCGTAAATAACATGGTGCATAATATTTAATATTTGTAATCTTTGATAATTGTGCGTTATCACTTTTTCATTGAGATTTTTATAATACATAGAATGTCACAGCATCTGAATTATTTTTCAATTTATTTTTCAACTTATATTAAATTTTAATATATGAAGGAACCAATGTAGTATGATTTATTTCAGATCAGTCGGGTAAAGTACGTATTTGGGATACAGTTAACAAGGAGCATATATTAAAAAATGAATTCCACCCTATTGGCGGACCCATCAAAGACATTGCTTGGTCACCGGATAGTCAGCGCATGGTCGTGGTCGGAGAAGGAAGAGAAAGGTATACTTTGCTCACTAGAATGCGTAGAAGAAGTAAGACATATTATTAAAGAATTAAGATAGATCGTTAAAGAAATAATATTGACATGTTAATAATTTATGTTTAGATTTGGGCATGTCTTTATGGCAGAAACAGGAACGTCGGTGGGTGAGATCTCTGGTCAAAGTAAATCTATCAACTCATGCGATTTTAGACCGGCTAGACCATTTAGATTAATAACTGGAAGTGAAGATAACACTATTGGAATATTCGAAGGCCCTCCATTCAAATTCAAGTATGTACACATACGCAAAATTTAGTTTATATTCTATTGAGAGTGAGAATTTTAATTCTTCATGTGATTCATTATATGTTATTTATATAGGATGACAAAGCAAGAGCATACTCGTTTCGTTCAAACTGTACGTTATTCTCCTGACGGAAATCTGTTTGCTTCTGGTGGATTCGACGGGAAAGTATTTTTGTATAATGGAACAACCTCTGATTTTGTTGGAGAAATAGGATCCCCTGCACATCAAGGTGGAGTCTATGGGGTATGTAATCTAATTCGTTTAATGTAATGTGATGTGACATAAGAACGATTACAAATTATTTAAAATAAATATACAACACATTTATATTTACAGGTTGCATGGAAGCCTGATAGTAAGCAATTATTAACCGCCTCTGGAGATAAAACCTGTAAACTGTGGGATGTAGAAACACGTTCTTTAATTACGGAATTCAACATGGGAACGACGGTCGACGATCAACAAGTAATTTATAAATCAGTTTAAAGATTCACGGAAAGGCACAGTATGCAAGTAAATATTAAAAGAAGTATTAAAATAATCTGTGTGTTCCAGGTGAGCTGTCTATGGCAAGAAAAACATTTATTATCCGTGTCACTTAGCGGCTTCATCAATTATCTTGACGTCGACAATCCTGAGAAGCCTATAAAGATAATAAAAGTAATTCCTGTTTCTTATTGATTAATCTTTTTTAAAGTTCTAATTTAATTGTTCTTGATATATTTTTTTCATTATATCAGTTTTGATCCAATATTTTTTTTTCAGGGTCATAATAAACCAATAACGGTGCTAACATTAAGTCCTGATAGAAGTACGATTTACACCGGTTCTCACGATGGCTATATCACCAATTGGAATGCGGAAACAGGTGAAAATGAACGTGTACAAGGGCACGGTCATGGTAATCAAATTAACGGGATGAAGGCTACGGGTAACTTGCTCTATACCGCTGGCATTGACGATACTTTAAGGTCAGTCGATATTGCGACGAATGCATACGCAGAGACCAGTGTGGTAAAATTGGATTCGCAACCACGAGGATTGGATATATATAACGATATAGTTGTGGTGGCTTCAGTTCGACAGGTAGGCATCGAATGTAAAATGTCTACAAAGATAATTTTTTTGATTTTTCGAATTTATTCAGTAAATTTAACAAAATATTTAGCAAGTTTAAAATTAACTTAGCTAAAAACGTAGTAAGGATAATTTTTTTACACTATTATAGGACTTGTTAAATATATTTTTAAAAACTATGAGCATCTTTATAGACATTTTGCACTTGGAAATTTTGTATAATAATGATGTTACCATTAATACTGTATTTTGCAGATCGCAGTTACGCAAGATGGCAAAAAGCTGTCCAGTTTATCAATCGATTATGAACCATCGTGCGTATCAATTAATCAAGAAATCGGAGATGTAGCTGTTGGATCCACATCTGACAATAAAGTTCGTCTGTTACTTATAGTATACGAAAAATGTAAAAAATTGATTCATATGCTATTATCAAGCTTTGTACAATGTAGGTTTATATTTACGAGTTGTCGGACACTACATTAACTCAAAAGACTGAACTAGAACACCTGGGTCCAGTTACGGATGCCTCATATAGTCCTGATAATAAATATTTAGTTGCCTGTGATGCAAACAGAAAAGTTATATTGTATACTGTACCAGAATATAAGGTAAAGTACTTTACATAAAGGATAATTTAAATTATTTAAATTCAATTATTCACAGTTAAAAATGTAGTTGTAAGTCTTGCATGATCGAATATTTGTTATATGCTATCAGTAATACTGTGTTTAGAAATGTGCAAGAATAGTAATAATACTAAAATTTTTAATTCAAAAAGTTTTGCTTTTTTATCATAATTCAACATGTATAATTGTAATAAAGAGTTAGTAAAAAAACTTAACAGAAAATTCCGTCTAAAGCTCTAAATTTAAATAGATAAATACTCATAGCATTTATTCACTAAATTTAATTGTAATATAACGCACTATAACGTTGGAGCAATATTTGCTATGCATAAAGTAATTAAGCATAAAGTAATGCTTTCATTAATAAATTAATTGCTATTAATGGCTTGTTATGTGCTTATTGGATTAACAGAGGGTGAGTAGTATAAATGGAACTAAATATTATACAAATACAGTTTGAAGAAAACAATTTTAGGATATAAATCTAAATTATTTTGATTTGATTTGCAGCTTGCACATAATAGAGAATGGGGTTTTCACAATGCAAGAGTAAACTCTGTTGCTTGGTCTCCAAACTGTGACATGGTTGCAAGTGGTAGTCTTGATACCACTATCATCATTTGGAGTGTGACAAATCCAGCGAAACATACTATCATTAAAAGTGAGTGTAGCAAATATCCTTTTGTAAATGAATCGCAATTAATAAACATTTATATTTCAGATGCTCATCCTCAGAGTCAAATAACACGCTTAGTTTGGCTGGATGAGGAAACATTAATCTCCGTCGGACAGGATTGCAATACTAAAATATGGCGTATAGAAAAAATATAACTAACTTTTGGAAGAATTTATTACCACTTCTAAGGAAACTCAGTTTTGGAGGCATTTTATTTATTTCGTAGTCTACAAAAAAAAATATTGTATATTATTTTTTAATACAATTCTTGATATATGATTAAAAAATTATATTGCAATGTCTTTTGCACCTTTTGTATCAACTTTATTAGTAGAATAATTCACATCCCATATAACTAAGATTCTGCGGTTCTTTCATTGCTACAGCTTTATTTTTGCACATATGTAGAGATATTGCATTTTCACTAAGAGTCACACGACTTATCTAACTTGTCTTTATTAAAACAATATAACAATAACAAGAAAGCGATAACAATTCGAACACTAAAGGTCTTCAGGAACATGATCACACTTTGTACATTTAAAGATGGAATCCCATGGCCCGTGGCTTGGCATGACTCGGAAAGCCTATATGCGCCATGGAACCAGGATGACTGGTTATCCCTCACGGTTTGTAGCTCATGGCACATCATTTTTGAAAATTGGTATAAGTTTCGCGAGCCAAAGAAATCTTCGTGAACAGACGAGCCGATAAGGCATCTTATCCTATTGAATCGTCAATGATCGTGTTCAGAATGTTTATTTTGTAAATGTTGAAAGTTTTCTTTGCTGATATAGGACTATAGAAGATATCTAAATAAGATCTAAGTATAATTAAATTAGCGCAAAAGAAAACTTTCAACAGTAGTAGTAAAAACAAAATAAATATTCTGTTGAACGTGGCCAATACTTGCAAAGTTGTTTCATATACATTTTTTCATGTAATTATAGAAACTCAACAATTTTTTTATCATTCTACTCCATACTACGACTTGAATGATCAAAAAGTCACTTATAATGTCTCGACTAGCAATAATATAAACAACAATCTCACACATTTATATACAAGCATAGAGAAATTGGGTGGTGCAATAACGGTAGTTAATTATTTTGTTCAATCAAGGTGCAAGCCCTTTGACTCGCGTAATTTACCGACAGTTTAGCGAGCTGATAAGCCGCGAGCTATAGTGAACCATCCTGTTTCTACGGTGCGCCGTAGGACCAGGATGACTTACTATTTTAGCTTTTTTTTATATCAATTTTGAGACTAATCGTGTGACGAGTCATGCTGAACCGCGGGCCATGGGACCTCACTTTAAACGAAGATGTTATTACGACTTGTCTTATCATTAATCAGTCCAGTGCTGCTCTTACAAATTCAATTATGTTCATAATCTATCATTTATCATAAATAGGTATATAGGTAATCATTCTAAATTATTCTCTAATCCAACATATCTAAAACAATGTTCAATTATTTTTAATTAATGAAATAATTTCATTTCAATTTTTTTCCCTTTCTTTTTTTTTGTAATTTAACGAAAAAAAATAATTTTTAACAGAAAGATATATTTTGATGGAAAGGTATCCTAGCGAGGGTTAAAATGTCTATATAGAATAACACAATAGTGACTTTATCATCACATTATTGATGGTTTTGACGTACTATATCGTGGACGTTTTTGAGAAGAAGCTACAGGATGCCTGTAGGACACATGTTTCCTGAGAGCGTCTCGTGATCGCGACACGTGTGAACAGGATGTGCAACTGTACGAGCTATTACTATGCGTCTCCATGTGTACTCGCAAGTTGTATTGATTACTTAATTGTTTACCACAAATAAGACAAGTGACACTGGATTTGTTGTAACTCTGAGAAGTTCTACTAGGTGTGGACGCTGCAAGCAACTTGAAACTTGCATCCCACACAGCTGGCGGTGGTTTTACATCTTCTGTAATGACTTGATCCTCCATAATCGGCGCTGTCTCGTCTGCTATGTTCTCCGAATAGCCTCTATCGACATACTTATTAACAGATACGTTAACAGGAACAGACATTTTTTCCCTTTGGTTTAACTTCGCGTTTATAGAGTAATAGGGCTTCGTCTTCACGCAATACGGTATACTTTCTTGGTCATTATTAGGTTCCTCATCCTCTAAAGTATCCATTTTAGGCAATGATACAGATTCTGATGATCCAGGAGGTATTACATTATCTTTCTCTGTCTTTATTATCTCTTCGTTCAGTCTTTCCTGAGGTTGCATTACTGGTGACTGCACATACACGTCGTTATCCTGTCTCGAATTTTTCTGAAATAAGAAGACACTCATAATTATGTAAATTATTAAATAATTATCATATTTCTCCATTAAAAACACTGCACTATTAAACACGACAAAAAATATATAATTTAAAGGTGTATTAACTATGCGGTCATATGCTTTTATGCATTTATATTAAAGGTATGTTAAGTTACAATAAAATAATATTAAATAAATTTACTATTATAAAGATTTATACAAAAATACAATGCTTTCGATAATTAATAATCATAATAAATGTATTTTTTAACTTTGTGAATATAAATATTGATGATATACAATGATAAATATATCTTTTAAAATTCAAGAAAATAAGGTAAAGCATATTCTACATATATTATACAACAGGTTATGCATTGCACATTAATTATCTATTATGTGCAATTTGTTCGTATTTACTTAAAATCAATATTAGAATATATTACTTAAAGATATTTAGCATGATAATTTTTTAAACATTTGTTTTTGTTTTTTTTATTTATATTGTTCTAGAAATATACATTTGTTAAACAATACTAAGGCCCAGTTCCACAACTCACGATTAAGTCTTATCCGAGGTTCAACTTATTTATTGTCTTTTTCCAATTCTAGAATTGGAAAGAGACGAGAAACAAGTTGAACCTCGGTTAAGAGTTAACTGTGAGTTGTGGAACTGGGCCTAAGTATGCCTAATAAAATGTCTAATTTTTTATTTAAAAAATTATTTAGTCAAGAGTTGCCATTCTAACAGTTTAGCACATAAAATTCTTGACTATATCTGAAAATCATTTTCCAAAATTATTTTGTCTGTAGATTTTCATGCATTTTCTTTTTTTTTTTTCTTTTAGCTAATAACATCTTTAGAATCAAGAAATTAGTGCTAAACGTTTGTTATCATCACACTTGACTAAACTGTTAAGCATTATTGTACTGCGAAAAAAAAACATAAGTGTTGTATGAAATCGCCGTTCTAACTTCGGTAATATATAGTTTTAGTAATTTAGAGATTCATGGAAGAAGCTATTTTAGATATACCTGTAAAGTCATTCTATGGGGTAAGGTTCCATGGGATGCATCCACTTGCATTTAGTTGCAACACACACAACGATCTTGATCTCGTGGATATCGTTTTTATTCATTATCGTTCCTTCGATGCATGTATGAACATAATATGTGTAGCGGTATAATTCCTTCGTGAAGTACTTCTTGAGGAACGACAGTGAATGTGTTTAAGTAACCTGAACAAAACAACACGATCAGGATAATATAAAAACATTAAGTGAGGAACAAGCGAACGCGAATTTTGCTTCGTTCTCCGTTCTGCTGAAGTACGAAAGAAATTAATTATCTGCGACCTTTTGAGAAAATATATTCGTGAGAATATTATGGCAATTCTGTACTCTTTAAGTATATTGGTATTGAACATGAATATTCCAAAGATAGTGTTTACAATACATGTGCAAAGAGTTATAATATGTACATATTGAATTTATCATGATTTACAGATAAGACAAATTCTACTTAATGAGATACTTAACAGATTTGTTTACAACTCTAACAAATGCTTACAACACTTACACTGCTATCGCATATAAATATAATTGTATCATAGATATAATATGCAACGTGTTACAATTTAAAAAAAAAATTGAAAAATAATATACTGACATTCTATTAATTGTAAGAAGCAATATTATTTATGAGCTATATCGAATATACTATTAAACAAATATTACAATGCATAAACAGTTGTATATCAATGTTAATGAAAAAAAGGAGAAAAAATGTGAAAGGAAAATGCATTGTGGTTTAAAATGGTGCAACTTATTAATAGAAAATTGTTGCATAAGTTTTGTATAACTATATATTATATACTGACTATATTGTTGAGCGTATCAACAATACAATTATTTTGTGCAAATTTACAACAGACAAATTTGTGTGAAAAATAAAAAATATTTAGTATATATTCGTAACGAATAGTAAGAACTGTTAGGAGTTATATTCCTGTATAACGGCGTTTAAAAAACCCATGCTTTGTTATAAGCAATTAAAAATTTTCGTTTGAGGACAAGCGTATTAAAAAGATTAAATATTATTCATGCTAATTACCTTAAGTACTAAAAAAAACACGCCATTAATTTAATAACAAGAAAATGGCAGTCTTTATTTCTGAATATATTATAGTACAATAAAATTATTATATACATTTAGCTCCCTGATTATTTATATATTATTTATATATTTCTTATGCAATACGCGCACGCTTGTATTCGATCTGACGTTGAAACTTAGTAATAATAATGAAAATCATATTTTCATAATTTGTATGTCTCAGATACAAATAATTACTGTAATTCGGAAATTAATTAATAAAAAAAAATTAGTATGTAATACGCGCACCTAAAATAAAGAAATTAAATATTTTATCATTATTTTATTATTTTATCATTATTTTTCGTTATATTAAGACAAAGAAATTTCACGAACAATAAATATAAATGTATTTTATATGACGCCAAAAGTGTTGATATAAAAAATAAAATACAAGCTAAAAATGAAAATGTACAATACATTCAGAAAATACAATATAAATGCAGAGAATAGCATATTTTTTTTACATAATACAAGCTTTCCTAATACTCTTCAAAGTAGACCGTACATCTTTTTAATATCGTTTGAGCACAAAAAAATCACTTACCCCAGCCATGTCAGCTAATCCACAAATGTGCAATGTATCAGCCATAGCTAAAAGTGCAGGTAACTGTTCTTGATAAATATTCACTTCTCCATTATACATAAACTTGACCAGAGCACATAAATTTGCATATTCCATGCCTGGCAGCACAATGACCGGATGTTGCAAAACACTTAAGTCCTAAAAATGTTTTCATAGAATTCTCATCACTGTTAGTTTGATAACTACATATTTGATCGCATATATAAGCGACACAATATTAACTTAACATCACAGTTTGAATTAATTTAGAAATCCATTACATTTAGCTTATTCAAGCAAATTAACTATCCAAAATAATTTTATTCTTGGTATTAGATGTTATTACTTATAAAAAAAAGAAACAAGTAAAAAAGCACGAAAATAATATAATATTATAATATAATATTAAAATAGAGAGATAATTCAAAAAAATATAAAAAAATTCGTATATTTATTACGTCATTAATAAATCAATGTTACTCAAAACGTTTCATAAAAGAAAAAATTATTAAGATTAAGTCTAAGAAAGAAACAAACTCCAATTAAAATATAAGCAAACAAAAAATATATATTTAAAAGCCATGAAGTCTTCATGGCTTGCATAACATGATTGAGACAGTTTTATATGTATAAATACCTTAAAAAGTTCTTTAAAGTAATAACTACAAGCCGAGAGTATAATTCTATGAGCATGAATATGTCTACCGCCGGCACTGAGCGTAACGTCTGTCAGATGACCACCGTCAAGCAACTTTGGTAACGAGCTCAAGAGAGTATTTTGAAAATTATGCCACCGTAAACAGAACTGTTGACCTTCCATGTCTCTGCCTGCTGTAAGAAAAAAAGGATCACCATATTGAAACATTGTTTTATAAAAAGAAAAATTACCAGAATTAAGTCTCAATGACTGCATAAGAAAGAAAATACAGCCCCAGTTTGCAGGAAAATCTAAGCAAACAAAATATATGAACTTAAAAGACATGAAATCTTCATGATGCCTTGAATTTGTATAAACTTATTCTTTCGCAAAGGATTAAAACAATGCAGTGGATATTTTATTACATAATATACAAGTTCATATCTGTATTCATTCATGCGTATCTAATCTAATGATAACTCTCCAGAGCTAACGTTAAAATCCATAGCAAAAAGCAAGTTTTTTAACTCATCATTACTCAATCGTATTATGCATAAATATAGTTTTTATGGAGCAAAGTTGCATTTGTGCATAAAGCAATTAATCAATCAATGGATTAAAAAACTTGTGCTTGTAGTTATTGATGTTGAATCTGTAAGATCCATTTAATTTATGCAATAGCGAATTTGAATGAATGCATTAATGCACACTGACGAATATTAAAGTTATGGATACACTGATTTAATCCAAATGTAAAGGTGAAATGCAAATATTTCGAATTATAAATACATATATACCTTATCTAACAGCACAGTAAATTATATATTGAAGAGTTCGAGGTATAAGATGTTTCTTTCATATTAAATACACATATATTTTTGCGTCAATTTGTATACAGTCTCAAGTGCATACTGAGTGCATCCAATCGAATTCGCTATTAATTAAAAAGCACTAATTTCATGGAACCAAAACTCTTATAAAAAAGAATCAATACTAAGTATATTTTAATAGAAATAATTCAAATTTACAAATGTAACATAAAGAAAATTTACATTTATGGCAAAGAGATTTATAATTAAATGGATCCAATAGACCTACCGTCAACTTCGGAGGAGCTTAAACATTAATCAGGCACGTAACAAAAAAAATTCGATTCTCTCGTCGTACAGGATAAAGGTTATAAAAGCCACGAAACTGCAGGGTGAAAGATGATTTTCTTCTGGTCGATTCAAAAGAGAGATCTAAAATTTAGCAAGATCTACGTCGCGAGTTCACGACGTAAGGGAGGTGGGGCGGCAGTCCGAGAGATACAGAGGGAGACAATACTATTTATTTAATCAGGCTCTGTGCAGGTTCCAGCCAAATCTATTATTGTACTCAGGTATGGCTGGAGGAAAAGGACGGCCGTCGCGTAGCCGCGATTCGCGACAACTCACGGTGGACAACTCAATAACACCGATATAGGGATGCCAAGGCATCGACACGTCTGTGAAAAACAGAGAGACCGAGAGCCCCGCGTCTATCGTGCCTTACCTCGTGAAAATCGTTGGACGTTGTCCGTCACAAACGACCCGTTCTCAGCGTAAAACTGTCCCTCTCATCTGGCAAGCGCCATAATCGCGATTGACGCGGATTACACGATCATGAGAGATGCACGTTAAACCACATACCACATAGCTGATGGCCATCTTTTGATGGTACTTAGAATTTATTTACACAATTGCCAATTTAGCGATTTTGTCGCAATTTCAGGTGTCATCTTGGGCTGGGTTCGGGCAGATGCTATTAATGCTATTAGAATGACATATTCTATCTTCATCGTTCATTAAACGTGAAACAAGGATAATATGACACACAAATAGCGTTGATAGCGTGCTCCCCGAACACAGCCTTGATGAACAAATGTTAGCTAATGATGACTTTAATTAATAAGTTTGCAATATTCAAATTTTACGTGCTTAACGGGCTAATATATAATACTGCTTAGTATAAATGATTTTGCTACTTTGGACTATTTATTTTAGTGCTATAATTGGCGACAGGTGTAGCGAGTGCAGCGTAGTACAGTGCCAAAGTCACTAAAAATTTGGCAATCTTGCCTAGAAACGAATTGAAATTTTACGCGATTTTCAAATTTCGAAATAGCCTTCAAAGTAGTTCGAAGGGCTATTTCGAAATTGACTTAATCGACGATTAATTCGATAAATTTGCTCAAGGCAAATTTAAATTTTGACAAATTGATCTACACTGAAATAAAAATTTTTCTATAATTTAATTTATCATTTCTAATCTTTTTTTTTATTTAATATTTATATGTTAAATGGCAAAAAATAGTAAAGATAATTTTATCCATATTAGTACAAATAATTGGCTTAATAAGTTAAACTGACAAAGTACTCTCAGAAAAATTTTTTATTACATATTAAATTCATTCCTAATTAATCTTCTTTTTTCATTTGTTAGGCAATAACAATCATGTTAACGAAATGCTTACATCTGTTACTATTTTAGTAGAACGATAGAATTATCTAGTCTTTTGTCGTTTAATATATATGTAGAAAAAGATTAGAAGATGAATTATGTACGTTTTATATGTAGAGGAAGCCCGGGCAGCGTGGACGTCTTAAGAAGAAAAAAATAACACAATTAAAATTGAGGTCAGAAACATTTTTATTCTCATAAATCTCTTAGAGGACTTAACTTTGAAATAAAAACAATGTAAGATAATATAAGATAATATAAGATATAAGATATATATCTCGAAATATTTTGTTTATATATGTTTTTGTTTAAAAAAATTAAATAAGAATAATTATATAAAGAAATGTAATTTAAAAATGAAAATTCAAATACTTTTTATTTTTTATTATTAAAAAGTTTGTTTCTGTTAGTCTTGTTTTTTGTGAGAAAATGAAAATCTTTGATAAGACAAACTACAAACATTATTAAAGATTGAAATATCTTCTTAATAAAATTGTGTATAAAAAATTAGATATTTTGTTTTTGCTTGTTCATAGCTTTGAAGTTGCTAAATGTATATCCGAGGATAGTATGTATATCACGGCTTAATATTCGGCGTTAACATATTTCTTGCATTATTGATGGAAAGTTTATTGACATTTGTTGTCGTCAATACAATCATGTTAAATATTAGACAGCAGGTAAGAATTATGCTAATAATGCACCAAATTTGTATATTTTCCAATAACATGACAGTCTTCTTTTTTTAATTTTACACCTACAGTTATTTTATGGCCATATATTTATAATTAGTACTAATCAAGTGTAATCAACATCCAGCGATATCGTCGAAGCATGACTCAACTACGAATCAGATAGCTTTTTACTCTACAGTATCTATTAATAAATGAAATGATATATAATATATATATATCATTAAATAAACTTTTATTACATTCAACGAAATCCGCTGTATAAACTATTTTTATTTCAAAAATCACAACACGAATTGTAAGCCAAAAGTTCTTTATTTTTCAGAAATATAATTCAATGTAGAATTAAACCAGTTTTTTATTCTCTAATAATGAATTTTGTTGAAATTAATAAAGTTTTATGGTCTTAACAACAGATTCTATCTGTTACATTATATTTATAAAGAGAGATATATTTTTTACAATAATTTTTTAAAACGATTAATTAATTGTAATAATAGATATACTATGATATTACAATCTTGTTGCATGTTAATTTAATGATACTTATTTTTTTATTAGAAAATATGTATGTAGGTCGAATATTATAATTACGAGTATATATTATTAGTGGAGATATATAAAAAGGAAAATCAAGAAATGATCTATATATAACCGAATGTTTATACACAACTGTCTGCTTCGATTGATATTATTATTATAATATCGATTTTATTATTTGTGTATAGTTATACAGAAAAATGACGCTTACAACTGTAAAATCGCTTAAACGCTCAAGCTCGATTGCGTCGGACTTTTCTCGATAGTGCGATTCTAAACGTGTCATTCTCGATCGTAATACATTAAAAATCGCATTCTTTTGACACACGACAAGTGAAACGATTTCTCAATTATATCACAGAAATACAGACTTTTAATTCGAGTGACAATTTGAAGACACATAATTACAAAATCGTGTTCGTAATGAGTGATTAAAAATTCGTAGAAATCATGTAAAAACCTGTGTGCATAAACGCTGATTAGAAACGATTGAGTTTTTTAATCACCTGTGACTGATTTCTCAGAAAGAGAAATCGACGGTTTACGTTCCTTTAAGCGATACACATGTATATCTTGTCATCTGTTACTGTTAATTTTATATACAGTTTTCGTAATTGTTGTTTATAACACTTAAGACTACTGTAAGAGTTAATATAGTATTATTATAAAATAATTATAGCTAGTTATATTTCATATCGTCGATTTCTAAAAAGTGTATAACAAAATCCATAGCATTTATAATTAATAATAACGTACATACAAACACTCTGTGCTTGCTATTGACAATTGACATATTAAAAACAAAACTTTTCTTTGTTAGATGTCAGTGTTATGAATAAATAAAATATATCAACAATTAATATATTGCAGCTTAATATTTGCAAATAGAAAATAACATTCTTATCACATGCAAGTTACATACGTTAAACGTATTTCTGTAATATATTACAAAGTTATATTTTAGAAAATAAGTATTGATGAAACACGATAATCTTATATAGATTAGAAAATCAAGATATTTTTTAATATCTCGAGAAATACGATAACTCCTGATCATTAGGCACAAATATTTCTATACTACTATATATTCATTCTAAAATGTGTTTATAACGCTCAAAATTGTTTATATTTATACTAAATTGAAAACTTAGTTTTCAATTGTTTTCATTACTTAAAAGTTTCAACAATTGTAAGATAATTATTTGCAACTTTGCATCCTAGCAGAAAATCATCTTAGGACCATTTAGTGTCTAAAGAAATAGTCAAAAAGCTACGGAAATAATTTTCTTCGACACTAAATAATCCTAAATATCCTTCTTTGATGCAAAATTAACCCTGTCAATGCAATCTTAGATTCGAAATTAGCTGTAATATTTATATTAATATTAAGAATGCCTTGTACCTATAAAATCATAAAATTTTCATCCGATAACACAAGAACTTTTAACTGCGAAAACGCGATTTGAGTTATAAAAACTTTGCAATGGAGATGTAAAAGAGAGATAATAACTCACGCCATGTTCGATTGAATTCGACAACTTGTAAATTCTGTTTATGCGTAGAACCGATATAAAATCCGTGTATTCTCGATATGTTTCTACATGTATATTATGTATATATGTACATGTTCGACTACTCTGTAATATCTGATATTAGACCAGCGCCTTCACTATATATCTGTAACTCTCGAAGATTGTCCATAAATTTTTGTAAACTTGTACTTGTTGCTTTGCATCAGGTATCTGGATTATTACGTGCATTGTACACGCGCTATATCGAATATTTGGAAATCCTTCGACAATATTCATTCCTAAACATTACTTCCCAATATCGATAACATGTCGTTCGGCGGTTTTTAGACACATACCGCTTCTCGATAAAAGTTATGACAATATTTTATTATTATTAAACCGTGTTCTCTCTAAGCATATCTCCAATTTCAAACTCCTCTAATGCCCGTTTCTATCAATGTAAGTTAACTTCTCGGTTCAACTTATTCTTTATCTTTTTCTAATTCTTAGAATTAGAGAAAGAGATGAATTAGTTTAAACCGAGATTAAAATTAAAATTAAATTACAATGGTAGAAACAAACGTTAGTAAAAGATCAAGAGTTATAACTTCCTTCCTAATGGCACGGTATCCTTTCGCGATTATTTTTAATTATGAAAATCTATTAATTGTAAGCTTTTTATATTTTTACATGTGTGTAACTGGTCCGCAGATACCGATCGATGTTCGAATTTCTTTCGATTCTTGTAAAGAGAACGAATCTTATTGCGTTAAAACCACTGAACATCTTGAATGTCTAACGTAAAATAAAATTGCTTATTGTGTATCATAAATTATCAACGCGTGCTCTGTTTTTTTCTTTTTTTTTTCCATAAATGTGTAAAATGCCATTACTATTGTGGTCCTTCTCCATGAAGTAGAGTGAGTATAGCGTTTCTGAGAGCGAAATTCGGAGTAAAAGAAGTATCGTGTAACGGCTCATTCGTCATCGGACTAGTATATTTTCCACATAGGAACCATTCATTTATTGCTGCCCTTTCATAAGTAAATCCATCTAGGAATAATAATTGTACACAATTAATTTTATTAAGACAAATTTTTTGGAATAATTTTTTATAAAAAAGCGATTTTTGTGTGATATTTTTACCTGAGCACTGTACAGGTTCTTTCATTATCTCGTGCGTTATAGGACACAAAAATTCATAAGGAATCTCAGACTCATCTATATTCTCCATAACATTGCAATCTTCACGCTTCAGCCAAT